AAAGACTGGAGGCTTTGAAGTGCATCCTGAATATGGTTGTTGTCCTCACTGAGACTTTCCATTTTATATCTATGAACTGGTATTTTTTGCCTGTGGATGCCACTAAAATTTGTAATAAACATAATTGTGTTGTTTATAGTGCATCTCCAGTATCATCATATTAAGTAGGTCTGTATGGCATAGATTTTTGTAGGAATAAGACTGCTTTTGTCAGAGAGATCAAACATTAGGCATATGATTCTCCTAAATTAAAATACTCTCTCTGCAAGATACTAGATTTTATAATTTGATACTCAGCAATATGGCAAAACTATCCTTTTTTTTTGAACTTTATGTGGAGACATGGTGTCTACTAGCCTTCCAGGACAAGCTGCATATCAGGATAAGCTTTTTTTTTAAAAAAAATAAAATTACTTTTTTTTTTTTCCTGAATCACTGGTTAGAACTCAGATAATTGGTTATATTGACATAGGATACAAGTATAAATTTGACTTAAAATGGAATTATTACCCTTCCAGCAATCAACAAGTATTACACTAAGTGGGTTTTTCAAAAGTGCTCAGCAACAGCATATTTATTGTTCTAAACTAATTATTATTAGCTTCAGAAGTCATTAAAAGAGAGTCAAAAATCAATGATTTCTACTCGTAACCAAACTACAAAACATAGTGAAAACCACCTACTTATCAAAACAGTCAGATTTATTTCCTATAGGGTGGGCAGTATGGCAAAGTTGTTATGGTATTTTTACTACTGATCCAAAGACACCACAAAATCATAGAATGTCAAGGGGTTGGAAGGGACCTTAAAGATCTTCTATTCCCAGGGATGGATAGATTCATGTACTAATAGATATTTTCAAAACATGCAGAGATAAGTGCTGTTGAATGTGTATGTCTGCTTCAGTCTGATCAGTGTCTGTAATGTTTGTACTCGCTGAAATAATCATGTATAAATATGTTTTATTTTTGTTGCTCTTTGACATGCTTAGTCTTTACCTTGGGATTTATGGGAGGTAAGAAATTCATACAGCTTTTGTCTCTCATCATGTACTGTTCACGTGCTAGTGCCATCTCTGTTCACATGCCTGTCTCCTTTCCTTCACTGCTTCTCCTTCCTGCACACCCTAGACCAAAGTTGCTCTGTGTGCTGCTGGACCCTCTTACGCACCTTGTATGAAGCCCCAGGGCCAACCATGTTTGCAAGTCTAAGACTTACAATTCTACCAGTGCACATTGCCTTTCCCTGCTAACCCACTCGTCTCGCACTTGGCATAATGCTATGACCTTCACCTCATACTTAATACCACTGTGGCATCATCCTTGCTCTCCACAACACAGTATTTCTTAAACTCTCTATGTCCTGTTGGTCTTGAGTGCAGTGCATAAATATCCCAGCTGCCCCTCACCATTGCTGCCTGTACCATTAGATATATACACATCTGGAATTGTCTGTGGTGTTTGCTGTTCATTGACCATTGTTGTCAGAAAGGCTGATGTGAATTAGCTCACCCTGTGTCTACACTGGAAGTTAACTGCAGGCCCAAGGCTTGCCTGGCATCTGCCTCAACCTCAGCTTTGGAGCTTGCTGACAGGGAGACTCTGCACATGCCCTGCATCTGAGCAAAGACCTGACCCTCATTTATGCCCTCTCTACATATCTGGCCTGGGCAGGTCTCAGGTTGCTGAGATTAACCCCTTGAGAGATATTTCAAGCACAACTACTTTTGAGTCCCTCTGGACTGACAGTGCCAGCAGTGTAGACAGAAGAATGCTTGATCTGGATACTTAGGCCTGCTGCTGGAGCTGGCTGTATCCACTGAGTAAACTCATGGCCTTGGCTCATGCTGGGGAATTTAGTCCTGACAACCTTCCCGTTCCCAAGGGCCAGATCACCCGGTAGAGTTAGTACTTGGGAGGACATGGCTTAGTCCTGGCCTAGGGACTCACTGTGGCCATTACTCTCCTTCACGTGGGCCTAGGGGATGTCAGGAAGGAAGGTTTCCCCTGTGTGTTTTATCAGCCATCACTGTTTAACTTCTGTCATTCCCTTGTATGTGCATTGTCAATCTGTCTTTGTGGGGAAAAAGAGACTGGTTTAGCTAGGAAAAATCTCATTCCTTTCAGGTGAATGGGTAGGGGTGAGGTATGACTGTATCTGATTGAGCTGTGCTTACAGTCTCGGCTGTAAAAAGTTTTTTTGACTACATCTGTCATCCTGCAAACTGATTTTACCCAAAGGAGAATTTGCTCAACCAGGAAATGCTACTAGTCAAGGTATTCACACTGTACCAATTCCCACCTTGGCATACCATACACAAAGAGCAGAGCTTTCTAAAGCTGGGGAATCTTCCTCTTCAAGTCTTCTGAAGTGTTTTTGTTATACATGTTCTCAGCTGTTGATGAGAAGAGACTTTTTTGGTGGTTCCTTAGTCCCATAGGCCATGAGGTTAACAATTGCATAGAAACTTGAGTGCAGCAGAGCTGGCTTAGCTCTGCAGAGTGGGAAATGTGCATTTGGTGTTCATGATGCTGCTGTTGGAATAAGCAAAGCTTTTAAACCTGGTAACAGCAGTGAGCAATTCCTCTCCCTGTACTATCTTTCCATGACTGTAAATGCTTTTATAGGCCTCAGGATGCCCTACAGGTATATAAACTAAGAAAAATAGTAGCTGACATGAAAATGCCCTTTGTTGAAATCCAGAGGACTAATTTAGATCAAATTTCTCTGATTTTCCATACTGTTTATGCAAATTAGCTGCTTTAAAAAAAACCAATCCCAAACCCTCACACTGAGCTCCTTTTCACTTGTCTGTATAAAACTCATGCTTGGTCAGATAGAGCTGGCCTGGCATCTGTCCCGGTTTCAGTTTCACTGAATCCAAACAAAAACCTGGGAGTGAATCCAATTAAACAGGAGAATTCTTTGTAGCATTTCATATGCATATATTTACCTTAGCTCTGACAAAGCTGCTGAGGGAATCCTCTGTAGGATGGGAACAGCTCTGCTCTTTATAATATCTTCTGGCAGTATAGGCATGTGGACATGAGGAAGGGTGTGATAGGGAAGGAAAGCATGTGTTAGATGACACCACTGGAGCAGCTGAAGGTAAAGTAATGGAATTTTATTAAATCAAGGATTTCTTTATTTATTTATTGCTGCTGTTATTAGAATGCTGCTTGGAGCATTGTGCTAGTAGCCAGATGGCTGGACACTTAAGGTTTACCATGGTGATTGCTTTACTCTGGGGTTTTGTAAGGTTGGGACTATGAGAACTGCAGAATTAAGGAATATGGACAGTGCCTTGTTTTGAGTATGATTGTATTCAGGGGTACATGTGTCTTGATTTAATGCCAACTGGAAACTAAGCACCACACAACCCCTCGCTTGTTTCCTTCCCATTGGTGGGATGGAGGAGAAAGTTGGAAGAGTAAAAGTAAGAAAACTTGTGGGTTGAGATGAGACCAGCTTAATTAAAACAAAATAATCTTAATTGTAATGAGAAGGAAAATAACAGAGAAAAATGAAACCCAAAAAAACCCAAGTGAGGCAAATGAAAAACAATTGCTCAACACCAGCTGACTGATGCCCAGCTCATTCCTAAGCAGTGCTGCCAGATCAGCTTTTCCCCTAGTTTTTACATGAGCATGATGATATTTGGGATATCCCTGTGGTCAGCTGGGGTCAGCTGCCCTGGCTGTGTCCCCTCCCAGCTCCTTGTTTCCCCCAGCCTCCTTGCTGGCAGGGTAGCATGAGAAGCTGAAAAGTCCATGACTTGGTGTGAGCACTGCTCAACAACAACTACATCATCAGTGTTGGCAACATTATTTTCATCCTAAATCCAAAACACAGCCCTGTACCAGCTATTAGGAAGAAAATCAACTATCCCAGCTAAAGCAGGACAACACGTGTTTATCAAATGTATGAGGTATGTAGGCATGCTAAAGCTGGGTGTATCTATGTATTAAAAATGGCAAATCTTGGGAGTCTTTCCAGATGCTGCCTGGTCAGTCTCCCATGGGGCTCATTTGCAGCCTTGGTGCTGCCAGATCCAACATACTTCTGCATTGTTGCAATTTCTGGGAGGGGTAAATGAATATCTTTACTATTGTGCTAAAAAGAGTTAACCTGACTCCAGACAAAGGAGAACAAAAACTTGAAGTGCTGAAAGCCTGTCATAGGTGTTTGGTTGGTCTTTTGTTGTGCACAGAAACCCTGTTCCCAGGCTTTTTAGAACAGTCTTTTCCAGGCAGTGATTTGTGGGTGATATTGAATCTCCTTGGTGGTGACAGCTTTTGTGCAGTAGAAAGTTTCCATCAATACAAATGTGTTACACACCCCATCTGGAATATTCATAGAAAATTCTTAGTAATAGAATATTCACAACTCTTCCAAATTCACAACTCTTTGGGCCTGTCTGAAATTGAAGGGAGCGGAAGTTAGCGCAGTCCTGTTTGATTCAGTGCTTATGTCATGTTGATGCTGGGTCTGGACTAAATTCCATATCTGGACACATTATTACCATGCTCTTCTGTTTCTGGGTGTAGGCGAGTACTTAAATATTCTGTTATTGTTGATCCTTGGAAATAGACCATGGAAAGAGAGATCCTTGTTCTTTGGTGTACAAGAGAACTTGTATTCTCTTACAAGTGGGCAATCGAGATCTAACAATAAATACTGTGTGTGTGTAAAGTAGGTCTGCAGTTTAGATTGTGAGGAGAAAGAGGCACAAAGAATTTTTGGTGTTTTGTTGATTGCCTCTGAATTACTGCCTACTATGTGTCTGGAGTTGAGGGATTCTGGCTTTGTTGTGATTTCCATGAGTTGCAGAGAAAGGGGGAGACGGAAATGTAGGCAGACCCTTCAGTGTCTCACCTGTTAGTCAGCAGATGGCTCAGGCAGTGGCACAGAGCACTTGGGCAGGCTGGGCTGCACTTTGCTGTGCACATGTGTAGCTGGAATGAGAGTAACTTCCCACCGGGATGACTTTTGTATTGCAGCCTGCAGAAGCAGCCCGTGCAGGAGCTGAAGCAGCTGGATCAGAAGCAGCAGCTGGAGCTGAAGCATCTAAAACTGAAGCTGACTCAGGATCGGTAAACACCTCAAGGGACAGCAATCCCTTTTCTCCATCCCTTTCTTACACAGCACAGGTGGGAGGCTGGGCTGGGAAAAGAGCTGTGTAGCTGCTTGGAGAAACACATCGCTGCTGCTGGAGGAGTTACAATGCTCTTATTCAGGGATCAGACTTTGTTGTTGCATTTTATCTGTGTAATGCTTAGGGAGAAGTTCTGCTGGAAAATTCAGTGAAAGAATTGTCCCTTCACCCACGTTATAAAGTCAGCCCACAGCCCATGCTGTCCTAAGCTGTGTTGTCAGCTGGATTCCCCCTTGTTTGCTATTTACTTTACCTGCCCTGTCCTCTGGGCTCTGGCTGTGTCTCCTGAATATTGAGGTTTCATCTTTTTGGTGACACTGCTGCACTTTTAGGGGACAGGGGTAGGTCCCATCTCATGGCAGATTGGTGCCTACAGGCTGTCACATTTGAATTGTCTGTTCCAGGGGAGCTCTATGAGATTGCATTGTGACCACAGCAACTGGGAAATGCTGGGTATTATGGTCTCAGGAAACCTACAACTCATCCCTGCCTTTCTGCAGCCTTAGGCAGAGACAGCAGTCACCAGTCCTGCCTTCTCACTGCTGCCTTTGCTGTCCCTTGGGGTGTTTTTATTGCTGACTGGGAAAGTGCTGGGAAAACCCACTGAAGCCATGGGATAGTTGGGGTCTGGATCATCCAGGGTGGACTTGGAGCTTCAGTTTTGGATTCTCTTTTCTTAATGGCTTTTTTCCCCTTCCTTGGCTGCTACTGTCTACTAGAGCTCTCTGCCTGCTGTTGTTGTGGAAACTTTCCCTGCAACCGTCAATGGCACTGTGGAAGGAGGTGCATCATCTGAGAGAGCTGACATGCCCCCAGGATTTCTGTTCAAGGTGAGTGTGGGGTTGTGCAGCATCAAGTTCCTGGTGAGGGTTTTTTCCTCCCCTGTGAGACAGTAACTGCCTTCACTCAGCATGGCCATGGGCTAAGCCACATTGAAAGGCAGAACATAAATTGAAGGAGAGATAAACTTTCCTTAGTTTGCAGCTCTCCTTCAATGCAGCTTCATGCAGTTCCAGATGTTTCAAAGGATTATGTAAGAGCATCAGCATCTAAAGGTCTTGTACTGTGCAGCAAAACCTGTTCTCTCTGCTGCAGAGGTTTCTGTCTTGATGGTGTTGGTCACAGACTCTGGGTAGGGGATAAAATGTTGTGCTCCTGACAGGAAAAGTTAAACTTTGGTACAAGTGGCAAATTGAGAAGAGCTGGGAACATCAGCAGGAACAGAGGACTCTGTTTTTGGGGAAGTTAAAAAGCCAGGATTAACAGAGAAAAGTATAGGACTAGGCTGGGAAGTTGAGTGGGTATTCTGAATATGCCAAAGATCACTTGCAGCAAAGGTGTGGAGGAAGGAGTGATTTTGGGTGAGGATAAGCCACAAATTTAATGTGCATAAGGGAGTATGGTAGCAAGAAAACACAGATCATGCCCTGAAAGTGAGAATTTACAGCATCTTACTGTAGGAACACTTCTCTACTTTAGTCATTCCCACTTTTTTCTGTGAGTTCTGCTGAAAGTGGAAGAATGGCAAAGCCCTGAGGAATGACAGGAGGTTCATAACGCTTAGTCTGGTTTCAGGTGGCATTAGAGGCTACTGTGCTCAGTGTTCCTCTCTTGTCCCTGCAGGTCCAGGCCATGCACGATTACACGGCCACCGACACTGACGAGCTGCAGCTGAAGGCTGGGGACGTGGTGCTTGTGATTCCATTTGAGAACCCTGAGGAGCAGGTGAGTGGGGAAGGCAGGCTGTGAGCCTGAGCCTGGTGGAGCCAAGGGGGTTACCTGAGCTGCTTCTTTCTTCACTAACAGTTGGCTGGCTGGATGCTGGGCCATTAGTTTGTGGCTGGGAGCTGGCAAGAGAGACGGTTGTCCTTGAGCTTGAGATTGGCTTCCTGCAACAGAGGGGAGGGCTATGCTTGTTACTGGAAAGTGGAGACATTATCCTGCATAAAACATGTGGAGTAGCCATGAGTTATTGTCCCTATCAGAACATTTGAGTCAATACAGTGGCTCTCTTGATTAGGGAGCCAAACAGAGCCCATACTTTGCCTCCTCACTTCCTCTAAACTAGGTGCACATTCCCTGTGACCACTACAGCACAGTCTGTGGCATTGAAAGAAGTGACTCATACCTTATGATGTTTTCTTCTCTTTTTGACAAATGTGGTAACTCTGAGAAAAGAAGCTGGTGGTGGATGATGTCTTGCACTTCAGCACAGCAGTGGAGGTTCCCAAATGCCTGTGTTTGGTCAGGAGATGGCAGCAGAATCAAAGGCTAGAGCAGGTCTCAGATCCAAAGAGCAAGTCTTGCCGCCCATCTTCAACCTGAGTTTACTTGTTCATGTTTTTCTTTAATTTGAGCTGTTTCTAGAAGCCTTGAGTAAGTCCTCCTCACTTTCTGTGTTTGAGGGCACCCACCTGAAAGTCTGCAGCAGTTTTACTACTTTGATTGAGAGAGGTGGTGAGTTTATAAAATAAATGCTCACATCTCTATGTTTCTATTTGGAAAAGGAAGAGAAATCTCCAAATAGATTGAGCAGTCATCAGCTCTTTGGGTTTGGCCAAGTTCAGATAAGATCTGGTTTCCACAAGGGGTAAAGGGAAGGTGATGTAGTTCACTAACTCAGAAAATGTGGATCCTCTTTGTGGCCCAGCTGTTGGCTTTGTGAATTATGGAGGCAGACCATGCTGATGCTTGTGAAATGGAGCTATGAAATGCCAACCGTTCCCACACAGCTAGGGGAGGAAACGTTTTTGGGGAACAGGCACTGATCCCTTCTGGATATTCCCCACTGGGTGGGACTGCCCTGCACAAGCATTTGTGAGCATTTTCTTCTCAAAAAGCTTTCTGGATGGGAAACAGCCCTCGGTTTCTGTGGTAGGAGATGGTGTTTGTGGAGCAGATGGCGTTTTTGGATCAGAGTTTTTCATTGCCCTGTGTTTGCACTTTAGCTGGATGTGGGTGCAACAGCCATGAACTCGAGACTCTCCAAGCTGCAGAGGGTGAGCTCTGAGTGTTGCTAACATGACTCTGTAGCTGCACTGAAGCCCTCTAACCCTTCTACAGTGTATCCTGTGCTACAGCTCATTTCCCTAACCTCAACCATACCCAGCCAGGAGGTGCTGGCTGTTAACATGTGCATGAACTGTGCACGTGAGTGGAGGGAGCTTAGGATACTAGACTGATTCATGTCCCTACCTTGCAGCTTAGGTGTCGGTTTGTGGATACATCCAGGCCTGGGTTCATCTCTCTTGATAGAAGAAAGGGTTGAGGGCAGCAGCACTTCTAAGCTACCACTTCAAGTGATGTGATTTAAAATAGCCAAGGTGCCATCTGGGTCCTTGTGTCTAATCCCTACAGCCGAGGAGATCTTTCCTAGCAGGATGTGGTGGGAGTGATGCATGCATGCTGTATGGCACAGCACTATGTGCAAATGGATGAGCTTTGATGCCTGACGTGCTGTGAGCTGGAAGCTGCATTCTACACACTTGGGCCCCGTGTCTTTTGCCTCATTGTTTGTCTTCCTGATTTATGGCATGTCAATCCTTCTGCAGCCCCTGCAGCTGGCTGCTGCAGATGGGCTCCCATCTTGTGTCTTTCCCATGATGTCTCCGGAATGTTCCGATCTAAGGCAGCAGTCTAAGTGAGCCTGCAGGCTCTGGGAGCTGGGCAGCTCTCGTGCCTCACTCTAAACCATAGGCTGCCTCACTGCAAAGGAGTGGGGTGTGTGCATGCTAAAGGGGAGCTTCCATGGTAGCAGCTCCAAGGCGTGCAGAGATTAGAGTGGTTGTACACCTGAGCTGCAAGCTCAGTGCAGCCCTCCCAGCTTGAGTATCTTGAATACCTTGAATATCTCCCTCATCCCTAGGATGGAGAAGAAATCTCAATGCCAGACAGCCTGCAGGCAGAGGGTGGGAAGTCTGGTTTTGCTCATGAGCAAGTTCTACCAAGCAGGGTTCCTTTTGCCTGAGTGAAAATTCACCTGTGTTTATAGATGTATAGGTTGGAGGCTAGGGAAGCCCTTATTGAGAGACCTAAATCATGTAGCCAGAATTTGAGAGTTTTGCTCACGTCACCTTGCATCGAACCAAACAGACTGCTGAGTTTTGGGAAGATGGGTTGGGTTCCTCAGCTCCCAATTCCCACAGATCGGGATTTTGGCATAGCAAATAAAACTCATTTGCCGGTACCACCTCCAAAATGCCGATATCTGGGCGCTCTAACTGGAGCAGGGATGAGCACCTCCTGGGGCTGATTCATCCTTTCCAAAGACTTGTACCTGAGATGAGTGAGGTGAGTTACACATTGGAGGTGCCTGTCTCTTTTATGGCTATGGAGAATGCTAGACCCCTCGTGTGTGCATTGTGAAGGGTGCAACAGGTGATCCCATCCTGTAGCTCTGGAGTCTCTTTTGGCAAAATTTCTCCTGCTTCAGTGAGTGTAAATTATGACATGTTTCTGTTACACTTGCTTATTTTTTACTAGATCTGCACAGTCTGGGTCAGATGGGAGCTTTGTTATGAACTCCAGTGAGATGTAGCTTTTTATCTGTTTAAAAGAAAACAAAACCATTTTTTCCTTCTCCTCCATACTCCTCCTGGATTGTCTCCAAGCCAAATAAGAGCATGGCTTTGGTAATGCCTTGACACCTTCTTAGTCTGCACTGTGTAAGAAAAATCCCTGCTCACATCTGTCCCTTAGCATCTGATCTCTGTCTTCTCCTCCAGGACGAAGGATGGCTGATGGGTGTGAAGGAGTCTGACTGGATCCAGCATAAGGAACTTGACCAATGCCGAGGGGTTTTCCCTGAGAATTTCACGGAACGGGTGCAGTGAAAGTTCAAGCCCACCAGCTGCATTTCTGCTGGAAGAAAGCAAGTTTTCTGGTAGATAATTGAAAAAAAACAACAAAAGCAAAAGAAGAGAGAATTCTGAAGGAATAGAAGCCTGAAAAAAGTCAACTTAAAGGGTGTGTTCTTATCAAAGGGCAAGATTTCAGGAGTTTATTGAAAATCAAAGTGTTATTGAAATATATACATATTAATAATAATAAGGCAATTCAGATACCCTCTTCCACTTTGGTTTAAACAGCATTTGGATTCAAAGGACTGATGCAGAAGCAACTCTGTGAGGTTCTCCAAGTACTGCATTGACTGAATGGTCAGATGTCAGTCTGATTCCTGGAAAGGCAGTATTTGTCGAACGGCTTGAGACTAGAAGCTGCATTTGCTCTTGGGCAGGTTAATCTGTTTTGTCTTGAAGGTGGCTTGCATGGCAACCATAAAAATTCAGCCTTCCCTACATCTTCAACCTACAGTAGGCCAAACTTTCTGTTATGCTGTTGAAAAAAAATTTAGTGTAATAGTGTTCACCACTACAATGTATGTGTGTGTGTGTGTATTTTATTTTCTTCCTTTAAAATAATGTTACATAAACTGTGATTTTATACATGTAAAGATAGGAGAAACTACATGGAAAGGGCATGAAGAAGGTGAAATGTGTGAAGTTGTGCTCAGTCCAAAGCTCTTGCAAATGCAGACACCTAAATTCTAACAGTAGTGTTGGCCTGTGAAATCCTAAGGGGAATGGACAAATTCAAGAAGAGAAACAAGACAAAACGAACAGATGCCATTTGGATGTCTCTGAAATTTAGGACAGGGAATCCTCTAACACATACATCCCCTTCCCCTAACCCCTCAAAAAACCAAGCCCAAACCTATTGGTGGTTTCAGAAGAGCTTAGATTCATGTAGATGGAAAATAGCTCTAAAATCTACTGGTTAGAAAATTTGCTTTTAAAGACAGAGATAAGGGAAGAATTTTTTTTTTTCTGTAAGTATATCAAAGAGAAAACACTGATAAAAAACAAATTACTTTCTGTGCTTTTCATTGGCATTGTTTTTTGTGGAATTGTATTTCTTATTTTCCTTTGAAGAGTTCTGTAAGTGAAATATTGTTAGATCAGCTTTCTCCAGTGCTGTGCTGATGATCAAGTTAATCTCTATGAAAACTGGACTCTTGAAATGCTTGCTTAAAATGGCTGTGTGACTTCATGCTATTGTAATGCATTAGAAAGGAAGGCAAGAATATCAAAGTGTCAGTGTCAAGAAGACACTCTGCAGTCTAATACTGATGCTGAGTCCCTTCCTTTACCTTTCCTTTGCTTCTGTTTTTGAATTTTGTTTTTTTTTTAGCTTAGACAAGCAGATGACAAGGCTGTTTCTAAGTGCATATTACACTTGTTAATATAAGCCGGTCTGACTCTCCAAGACTCTAAAGTCCCACAAAGGTACTTTATAAACTTTACTTGAATACTGATGCAGCTGGCAAGCAAGTCAGGCTATTTTAATTTTTTACAGCTTCCCCTCCTCCCCATGATCATTTTGCCCTGAAGGGATTTTTAACAGTGAGGTTACGCCGTGCTCAGGATCATTCTGAAATAATCTTCCAAACTGGAGGGAGTTGGCTTTTGTCAAAGCTGCACAACATGCTGACAGAGTACTGAAAATCTCACCTTTTCAAATCTGTTTGGATTATTTGTAGAGTAACAGAAAAACATTGTAGGGCAAAAATTGTGTTTTTTTTAAAAAAAACCAACTTTGTTTGGAGGAACAGATCTGATTTTGATTAGAAAATATATTCTTATAGATGCAAGTATTGTTGGAGTTCCTCTTGCTTTCAGCTTGGGAGATGATCCATGCTAGTTATTACAGCAATGTAACAGGCATTAAATCTGTCCTATATACCCAAATCCCTTCTCTTTTTTAAAAGAAAAAATGTGCAGGAATTTATTTTCCATCACTGTTAGAAACCCCAATTGTATTCAGGAGTAACGGCTCACAATACAGAAGGACTGGACTCCACAAATTATAGTATGGTGAGCTGTTTCTTTAGAATACTGCCCTGTTTGACTTTTTTTTCCTTTTTCATCAGGGTTGTCTTTATTATTACTCTTTTTTGTTTTTCAAAGTATCTATTTTTATGCATTTTTGATTCCCATTACTCCTTTAAAGATTATTCATATAAAAAATATACATTTAAATATACATAGAAATATATATATATTAAAAAGCGGGTTGATCCAATTAACATAATGCTGTCAGCTTAAAATGTTTATTTTTATGCAAAACCTGTGGATAATAGCTTTGTTTTTTTAAGAAAAGGACAAGATTCTAAGTTACCAGAGCTGTGATTTTTGTCTTGTAGTAACTGTTCTAGACCATTTAGAAAACTGTGCTGATACCTAATTTATTGTGGGATTTTTTTTGCTGTTGTTGTCCTCTGCTGTGCTTGAACCAGATGACTGTCCCAACAAAGATCCTTGTAAGGCCTTTTCATTTTATTGAGCTTGCAGAGCAACTATCCAGTACTGTATTGTCCCTGCAGAAGTGGTAACACTCTGCAAAAAAGGGATGTTGTTTTTCAGGTCACCTGAGTGATGCTCCAATGTTTCTGGCGGGGAGAGTGTTATGTCTCTCTCCATTTGCTTCCCCTGACCCCAAAACCCCCAGGTCCCCTTGCTTTAGAGCAGGTTTGGGTGGGTTACCTGGATCTTGCATTGCTCACAGATAAACGGTGTCAGCACATCTCAGTCAGGTTCTGAAAATGCGGGATCAGACCCACAGTTTATAAATTGCCTTATGTGAAAGTAGGATGGCATAGCAGGAAACTTCTAGATGGCAGTGTTCTTTAGAGCCAGGAGATCTGTCTCCTGGGTCGTTCAGCCCCTTGTAAACAGCCATGGCTTCTCCCATTTTCAGTGTTTTTACGTCTCCTAAATACCTTGATTCTGGTTGATATTACCTGGTGAAACGAACTTCCCCTTTTCTTTGGTTTAGATCTGAATCAAATAGAAAGAGGGACAGTAAACTTCCCAAGTAGGCTGTGCCCACCTGGTTTTTCAGTTTGCAGGCTGAACTGAAAAATCTGAGAAAAAAACATAAGGGTGACCTGAGACAATTTTGTTTTTTTCCATTTCTCAGTGGAATGAAAAAGGGAAAAAATTAAACAAACAAATGAGTCCTTTCATACCAAAAAGAAACATTAATTCCTAGGGTTGCATTTTAACTTTTTAACAAATTTTATGTCTTGGGCTGTAACAAGTTGCTTTGAAGCAAAAATGTGAAACCTGTTTTGAAAATGCTGAAAGAAAATGTTTTAATGTTAATAGTCTTTTTGCCTTTTTTCTTAATCTGATGACTGGTTTCAGTTAATTCTAAACTGTATTTTTTTCCAAATACATTATCCACTGAAGAGAACCCAAAGAAGCCCAGTTCTGCTCCTGACAGATACACTGGACACATTTCAGGGATTACTTGGTATCTGACACATCAAAGCTGCTGTTTTCCCCATTTAATAATCTCTCACTTGATTGTTCTACTGGGTGAAAAATAAAAGCATCTCTCATCCTGTGCCACCGACTGGTTCTGTAGCTGGCCTTAGAAAGACATTCTTACTCAGTTGGCTTCAAATTTTTATTTTTTTTTTTCAGATCTTTGGTTACAGATTTATGATACTACTCCAGTTTGAGCCTAATCCTAGTATGAGGTGGGAATTAATATTTACCCAACTGATAAAAAAGAAGTAAGGCACATTGCTTTTTTCCCCTTCTTCTATCTTAGCAGTGTCAGTAATATATCTATTTGATAGAATTAAGGAAAGGTCCCAGGGTGAAGAAGAGTGTGGTGTTCCAGGTGAGACTCCCACATACTCTTTGCTATTTTCCATGGGCATTCCTCAGCTGTCTGCTTTTATCACCTTTGTTTTGCTTGGCTGTTGAGGTGATGCAGTAAATGGGGTTGTGCAGATTCATTTCCAGCTGCTCAAAGCTGGTAGTGCTTCGTGTAAATTGTGCCACAGTCCTTGAAGCTTTGTTCACTGTTGCAGAATCCGTTCCTGTCCCAATATCCTAAGACTGTGGCCAAGGCAAACAGCACCAAATGAAACAGGACCTGGAACAGGAGTGAGGGCTCCATTTTCTACCTGGAAATGGGATGTCAGCTCAATTAGGTTTTGCTGTAGCCCCTTGGAGGGAAAAGGCCCAAGGCTAAGGAGATGGGGGAGGATGGAGGGATGGTCCATTATCTTTTTCATTTTGGGTTGATGCAATGACTCCCTCACCTCTTAGTTCCAGGGAGAAACTACATAGGGCTGAGAACAAAATATGAATGGCCAAGAAGCGTATGTTCAGTCTGATAACAGGTGCTTCTTGCCTGCCTGTGGCACCGAGTTCAGAGCATCCTGTTTCCTGCTCTGGGCCAGACAGATGCAATGTTCTGCCACAGATATTTTGGATGCTGTGCAGTCAGTGCCCCAAAACAGGGAATGTCCTTGTCTGAAGGATGCAGAGGTGTCTCTCAGCCCTTTCTAGGAAGACCTATGGATCTCCCACAAACAAGGCCTGTGTGCATCTAACACAGCCACCTCTGATTTCAGGACCTGTATGTGTCTTTCAGCACTGGCCCCATTCTCCAGCTCCTCTCACTTCTCAGTCTCTCCCATGCTCTTTGAGGATGATGGCAGCATCAGGTACATCCCACCAGCCAAAAAGTGCAAAGCTAGAAGGTGCACAAATATGTCCATCAGCAAATCCTACATAATGCAGCTTTGATAGTGCTGAAATCAGGAAAACAAGCAACAGCTTTGGGCTGCCAAAGGGAAGCTACTCCTTGCCACACAGGCACTGTCACACCTGGTACTGATGCAGACACCTCTCTGCTTGCATGCTCTGGTTCACACCTTTTTGCGTAACTCCTGATGGAAAGGAGTCCTGGGTGGTGCTCAGAGCTGGATTGTGTCACCAGCCCTCAAAAAACATTGGGTCTAGTTGACACATGGGGGCTGAGAATTAGAAGGCTCTTCTGGAAATTTTGCTTACTAAACTAAATGGAGAAACTACAGCTGTGAAGACTGGTCTGTATAAGCCTGTACTTTGATGTGTCCTATGGCTATAATTCCTTCACCTCCTTTTGCAGCTTATTCTGCTAATTGTGACCCTAGTCTGCATTTCATGTAGAAGGTCCCTACTTGAAGCTTGCCAGATGCAGTCCTGGGCTTATTGCTTCTCTAGCTGAATTAAGTGGGAACGACTTTGTCAGTGTATTAGCAATCTCTTTTCCTTCTGTTAATTCAGTCTTGAGTTTAATCACAATGACCTGAAACATGTTTGGGGGTTGAGTGGTTTTTTAAATTAATTTTTGTTTTGTTTAAACAAAGCTGAACAATTCCCATTGTATTTAGAGCTGTAATGCCCAGTTCCACAAGTACTAGATGAATTTGTCCCATCTTGTTTCTTGGTGATGTTCAGAAATATAATTTGTGTCATCCTAAATCCTGCGTCAGTTTCTCTCTCTATTCTTTTCCTCCCTTTATATTAAGAAGCTGAAACAATTCAGGACATTTTTTTTCCCCACGGAGGTGAGTAGCTTCATAGATTTTTGGTATCCAGGCACCTTTAACACTGAGAGTTCTTACAAACACATGGAATGGAGAGGGTGGTGTTGGTCCTTACAGCAGCAGAGTAAGCTCCTGTAGCAGCCACCTCTGTTCCAGTTGATTGTGATGCCAAATGAATGTAGTAAAAGGAAGGATTTGAGATCTTTCCTTTCTATTAGCTACTGACCCCAAAGTGATGTGACCTTCATCCTCTAAGGCAAGTCTGTTGGTGGGACTGTGACACCGCAAGGGCACTCTGTGCCACCTGGCCAAACTTTTCTCAGCTCCCTCTGGCCTGCTGCCACACCTGTTTGAGCTCAGTTTCCAGGCTGGCTTTGGGTTCTGCTCTTTAAATTGGACATTTCCTTTGTAGGTAGAAAAGGGGTGTTTGTGCCCGTCAGCCACAGGGACTGAGGGACAGGATTAGAGGGGTTCACAATTCATAGCTGACTGGTTTTGGGGCCACTTTCTTGGATGCCTGATTCCAGACAGGCTTGGCACAGCTGCACGTGGGACTCGGCGTGTAAATAGCAAGTGCTGGCCAAAGGCCAGACTGGGGTCTGATGTAAATTGCTGCCAGTTAGCACCTTGATGGATGGACTGCCAGAGTTCTCTGCTTTAGGATGCAGCTCCACAAGCCCCAGAGCCAGCTCAGGGAGCTGGCCAGGCTGTGCTTGTACCATTCCTTTGCTTCCAGACAGCCTGGAGGGTTTAGTGCCTTTTAGCCTCCCACCTCTATGGCATTGGGATGGACCTGAGTCACATCTTGTTGCAGAGGGAGAGCAAGAAGCAGGCTGTGCCCCTGGAACTGTCACCTCAGTTGGTGACTCAGGCTCTGCCTTGGTGTGGTGGCTCCTGTGAGGCTGAGCTGGGCCAGCTCTGCTGCAGATGGAAGCTCACAGGGCAGGAACAAGACCCAGAGGTACCCTGTGCATGCCTTCTGCTTGTCCTGCCTTACAGTTTCATTCCCATCACCTAGAAATTCAAAGGAAATGGGAGGGGAGAAGACGGATGAGTGGGAGCAGCGAATAATTCAGTCAGTCTCTGCTCAGCTGCATAATTCATTCCCAGTGATGTTTTGTTGCTCCAAAGAAGCAGCACTTGGTGTCATTGCAGGCTGTG